TAAAGTTGCAAACTTTACGTGCATGCAAGACCTCACAAGGCTAAAACAACCAAAACTAAGGTTCCTACAAGGTTTTAGTGCATGGAAAGGGCCTAAGCTGGATAAAGTGAGCAACTTTATGTCATTGAGGACCTAGGGGTGTCCAGATCTGGAACCATATCCTTGTGATAAGTCCAAATCCGAGTATGACACCCTTTTTGGCACCAAAAGTGATCATTTACTTCCAAGAAAAGAGATCTAAGCAACTAAAGATCAAGATAGTGACTTTATACCTCAAGATGGTTGTCACTACAGATTAGATGTCGGATCTACTGCTTCTTTCCTTGCTCCTTCTTCTTCAAGCTCCAAAATCTTTCACAACCACACCAAAATCACTCTCAAAAGTTCTCTCTCTCACTCAAGAAGGTGCAAGGCTCAAACTAGGGTTTCTCTGGCTGTAGGAACGATGGAAGAGGCTGCAAATAAGCCATAAGTTTTTTAAATAGGGTACAAAACCCTGAAAATTAGGGTTTCTCTTTACAGTACCTACTCGTCGAGTCGGGCCTTCCGATTCGTCGAGTAGATCTGAAGTCCCGCGTCCTCATAATAACCTCTACTCGACGAGTTGGAGCTCCCCAACTCGCCGAGTCCAAGCACAAAACCCTAAAAACTTAGATAATTTAAATGATACTTGTAGCAGGTGTTACAGCCGGTTTATCGGTTTCATTACTTACATGTTTCATTAAAGTCCCATTTTTTTATCCTAATTTACGAATAAGTCTCAAACTAAAATTTAGTGATGATTTGGTTTCTCTATGTAACATATAATTTACCAGTTTCATTGCTCACTGGATACCTTGTCATTAAATGAGCTGATGAGATGCGTATTTTTGGTTATATAATGTTATGTTTATCATAAAACTTGATATACTGATGTATTGTATTAGTTTTTGGAATATAAAATGCATCCAACGAAGACTACAATAATTACATAAACTAGCAACAACTGCGTCATTTTTTACGTTTATAAGAAATTTCAAAATTGTCTATCTAATCTTATGTAACCCAATATATCCATCTAATCAGACATCAACTCATTTTGTACCCTTTTTCCTGGAAACACACATTTTATTGGCTTCATTGTTGACCTAGATACATAGTCATAAATGAGCCGATGAGATGGATATCAAATTTTATAGTAAATGTAACATTATATAACTAATCGTATCCGTCTTATCAGTAATTTAAGGACTAGGTGTATAAGTCAGCAATGAAACCGATAAAATGTATGTTAAATGGAGAAAATGACCAAATCGTCACTAAGTTTTAGTTTGAGACTTATTCGGAAATTAAAGTAAAATAATGAGACTTTAATGAAACAGGTAAGTAATGAAACCGGAAAAATGAGTCAAATCGATATTTTTACCGGTAATTTATGTTTTTTCGTAAACAAATTTTAGTTTGAAAACTTTTTCGTAAATTACGGTAAAATTTTAAGTCTTTTAGGAGATTTCCTTTAATAATTGTCATTAAATAACAGAAGACATAATATATGCAAACATATACGATCATAGACTTGACCCCCACAAGAGGGTGTCTACAGGTTCAAACTAGTTCTACATTTTTGGCACTTACATAAATTCGGGTTACATAGAATGATTTGAGGACATTAAAATTACCATAAGATATGGGCACAGTTTTAGTCGAATACAATCTAATATCATGATGTTCTATGGTTTTATACTTAATATATGGACATGAAGGTATCATGGTTGGAAATAATAGTGTATTTTGTATGATACATATGAAGAAAGTAAAGGGGTACAAAAAGTACACCTAACAATTGAAATGGAAAGATGCGAGGAGGTGCATGGTTTAAGGCTGCTCTGGTGGCGGAACCCTCCAAAATAGGGAGTTTGGATCGCTTGGCACTTTGTCAAACTCCTTTTTCAGTTTTCACATGTGTAGTTTCAAAACAGGCCCTTCTACTTCATCATTGTCTCAATAATGATCCCTCCACTTTAACTCATTTCCTTTTGTTTTCTTTTCACATTTTACTCCTCCTCTTTTCCTTATTCGATTCAAACCACCACCAAGTTGACGTTATATACCTTTTTTTTTTTTTTCGAAGTTCGTCTAGAAAAGACTGTCGATTGAATAATCTTTGACCATTTATCACATAAAAACAAAAGCAAAGAAGTAATATATTTGAAAGGAGATACAATAATATTCCGTTGTGAAAATGATGTTGGGGAATATAAGTAGGGTGATGGTGGAGAGTCGGATTACTTATGGATCGTATAAGTTTACTTCCGAGCTGATATTTACACCCTATGTCTGTGTTACAGGAAATTCAATACAGCTTAATCCAAAAAGATACATATGTATCTAGGCACAAAAACACAAGTTAAATTGCCAGACAAATTCTGAGTTTATTGTAGAAGAAGAAGAGTTGAGAAGGGTTCTCTACGACTCAAAGGATGAGTTGTATATATGCATGACAGATTAGAGTTTCTATCTTCTATATTAGTCATGAGAATCTTGAATTTAATGTCATAATCAACAGTTTCCAAAATTGATAGGATTTGTCAGTCTTACCATAATCACCTAGTAGAATTCAGTTTTTCTATAATAAAACTAACTCAAATTTCCGAAGACCTTTTGGGGCACTGCCCAAACCACCGCCAGAGGCTCTGCCCCTTGGACCCCTCTAGGGGGGCTACCCCTAGGACCCTGCAAGGGGACGCAACCCCCTTGACCCTCGTTTTTCTATTATATCGGCTTATAATTCGATCTTATATATACATGCATTCCGCATTCACCGAACATATTATATAGCGTACAAATAATAAACCTCTTAGCTCACATGTTAGTTCCAATTACATATAAAATGTATTGTGATATTAAAATCACCAACAAATGAAAAAACAAAATAAATATAAACCTTATTATATACATTGGATTTTAATTAAGTTAACTATATCTCATCAACGTCGACTAGCTAATTAATATTCTATGTGTCAAATTGTGTTTACCTTTGCCATTTATAATTGTTTAATAGTGGAGAAAAATCATACCACTAATTTGAGTAGGAGGGTATGAATATATGATTTGTAAATATGTATTGTAATATATAATCAAAATGAAGGGGTTAAAGGTCTTAAGGAACATTTACCAAGGTATGAAATGTTATTATTTATATGTAGGGATCTTTACTTGCATTATTTAAAGCTAGTTATTTAAACTCTATGTGTACTAAATGTTTACAACATATCAGCAATTGCTTTCATGAAACATTTTGTTCAAAAATTGTTTTTTCCACCTACCCTTTCGGGTTATTAAACAAAGATACATACCAAAATAATAACGACGACGACGACGACGACGACGACGACGACGACGACGACGACGACGACGACGACGACGACGACGACGACGACGACGACGACGACGACGACGACGACGACGACGACTGTCATCTCGATGTCAAATAAAATTAGTCATGATGTCCATATTAATAAAAGTTTGTCAATGTCGGACTAGCTCACTTGGTAGAACCAAGGTTTTGCCTCTTGGATTGGAGATCTCGAGTTTTAACCCATGTGTTGACGATTTCGTGATACTAACTTCTAACCACTAAGTACTAACCCTACCGTTTAAAAAAAATTGTGACAAATTATAAAGAAAACTTTATCTTTGTAGTAAATATAAATATCCAGGATGTTGCATGTGTTTGATAATGATGTAACTCATGTCATGTAGATTTACAATCTGTTATGAAAAATAATTCGAAAAACATTAAGACTTTTATATATTAAACTTGATTCTAATTATTTTTACAAGAAAGTAATGATGTTAAGTTTCTAATTATAGTAAGGAGAAGCCACAATTTAACTAAAAATAGCAATAAATATAGCTTCTAAGGAAGATTTTGGGTGGTGCATAATTGTATTAAAAAATTATAAATATATATGATGGCCTGGGGTCATGTTGCACAAACTTGAAGAGTTAAGTTGACTCTCAACAAATTGTTTATCAAATCCACATCCCTTAATTGGGAAGAAACCTCAATCCTGCGCAACTTGGTCATAAATTATTAAGCAATATCCAAATTCATACTTTGATCCCCTTGGTTTCATATATTTTCAATTCCGGTCCTTGTAGTTAGAGCATACGTACTTCTTATCCAAAACCATACATCATATATACCTCAATAAACGTCTTAATTTACATACTACTTAATTGGATTTGCTTATCATATACAATTTGCAAGGTGGATTTGCTTGTCATATACAAGTCAGGAAAATAATGTGTTAAGAGATGTTGGGATATGTACTCTTAAAATAATTATTCCATATTCACATATAGAAACCAAATAAATCATTTTCTTAAAGCTAATTTACATTTATCAATTTACAAAAAAAATAAAAATAAATAAATAAATAAATAAATAAATAAACTTTTATATATTACTATAGCTTTGAGAAATCGGAAAATTAAAGTCTAGTTTGTCAAAAGATGTAGTATTAATCAGTTTTACATAGAAGAAGTCCAAATGAATTGGAATGGAAAAATTCTTCAACATTGTGTTTGGTTGAAAATGAATAGAAATGATTTCCATAAATTTCATAGCTAAAGGATTTTATCATTACTTGATATAAAGTAAAGCTAACCCAAATGGAATAACTGGTTTAAAAATGACTGAATAGAAACACAAGAAAAGTAGGAGGGGCAAATGTAAGCTTTCTTGTAACCTAAAGGGCAAATAACTGGAAAGTTTGAAGGACTGACCCCTAAAGTTCTAAAAATTCATAAGAAAACCCTTCCACCTCCATGGTTCATGTGCCATTGTCCTGTCCACCAACCTCTCTCCTCTCCTCTCTTCTCCAACACCTTCAAACAATCAAACCCATTTCCATGTGATCTTGTTCTGAATTTAGCAGAGCAGTATCCCCATCTCATCTCTTCAAACTAACTAACCCTACTCAGTTGATTGATTGCTAATTATTCTGGTTCTTGAAATGGACAGAAATAATTCAATCCCACAAGGCCTGACTCCAGATGAATATTCAGAGCTAAAACCCATAATTAATGCGTACCACATGTTCGACAAAATGCCAAACACATGCACCTCACTGATCACGCAGCGCATCGACGCCCCCGCCCACGTGGTGTGGCCCTTGATACGCCGCTTTGACAACCCACAAAGCTACAAGCATTTCATCAAGAGCTGCAACATGATTGGTGATGGCGGTGTTGGGAGTATCCGAGAAGTCACCGTCATCTCAGGCCTTCCGGCGTCCACCAGCACAGAAAGGCTCGAGCTTTTGGACGATGAGAAGCACATCTTGAGCTTTCGTGTTGTGGGTGGAGAACACCGATTGAATAACTATCTTTCTGTTACTTCTGTCAATGAGTTCAACAAAGAAGGAAAGGTTTACACCATTGTTTTGGAATCTTACATTGTTGATATACCAGAAGGGAACACGGTGGAGGATACAAAGATGTTTACAGATACTGTCGTAAAATTGAATCTTCAAAAGTTGAGTGTGGTGGCCATGTCTTCTCTGCATGGTAGCGATTGAGTTAATGACAATCATTACGCGGGCGATGGGCGGCAGAACCGGTGGTGCTGCTGGTGGTGGACCAGGTATGATGACTTCTACTTCTACCACCAAAAGTCAAGATTCTGATAGGGTGGTGTTGAAGCTTTAATTAGTAAATCTTTTTTTTCTTGATTTCTTTCTTTCTTTGTTGAATCAAATAAATTTGGTGTTTAGTTTTAGTATTCGATTAATTCACAAATAGTTCTTTGATTTCATTGTCAACAGTTGCAATGATATCGACTTTCGCAAATCAAACTGTATAATTTTATTGGTAGTTGTAATTAATTAAAGATTCCAAATAGAGTTAAAGTGTTGTTATCAAGAGGTGCTCTTATCTAATTTAACAATATATATATATATATATATATATATATATATATATTATAATATATATATATATATATATATATATTATCTATATATATATATAAATGTTGGCTAACTAGCAATCATTCGTTGAAGCCCACTTGTTCTATATATCAACTTTAATTAAATAATAAATACCATATGTCAATTAGCCAAAAGGTTTAAGTTTCTTATAGTTTGCCATTCATTTTTTGCAAAACCATCTACATTAGTTAAAAGTAACAATCTTAGTAAACGTTTGGACAATGCATATGTATGTAAAGGTTCAAAAATGATTTTTTATAATATGCAAATACACTAACATGTACAAGTATAGATTGTATATATTCTGGTTATAGAAAATGATACTTTATACTTTAGTATGTGAATCCCATGCATGTCAGAAAGGAAGTAAAAAAAATAATGTTGAAGTTAGGAAACTTGTGAATAGTTGGGAAACATGTGAACAGAGAGTTATCCTCAACCTTTGCACTTGGACTCATTGTAGCCATTTCTTTTCTTAACATGACATATATAATGCATCATTGAAACTGTTCATGATTTATGTCATAAAGTTCTGTCGTGTTGAGCTTAAAGGTGTGTATATAGTTTTTATCTAAGAGAGTGTTAATTTGGTGTAAAGAGTTTGAGTTGAAAAAGTATCAAACGAAATGGAATGGAATGTGATCAAATCGGTATAATTTTTTTTTTTGAACAATAATTCTCATTACCAACC